GGCCACGGAAAGATAGAGAGAGAGAGAGAGAGAAGAGAGAGAGAGAGAGAGGAGGAGAGAGAGAGAGGAGGAGAGAGAGAAGAGATGGACGACGAGTAGTAGAGAGAGATCTAGGAATGAGAGAGAGATAGCAGACGATGAGAGAGAGAGAGCTGAGAGAGAGCGCTCGCGAGAGCGCCGCGCGAGAGAGAGAGAGAGATAAGCGAGGAAACAAATAAGGAAATTAGTATGTATTTGCGATAAGTGTGCGTCTTTACGCAATGCTGTTGGCCTTGCTGTTTGATATATATATTGTGCCGCAGGCCCTAGCACGTGACGGTGTTGTGTGCCCTCCCATGAAAATCATATGCCCTCCCTTTAGATTTGTTCTAGCGCCGGGTCTGGCTCTCCATGAACTCCATGCCAGACTTTTTTGCAGGTGGTGCTGTGGTGTTCACGGGTAGGTTATCGGAAGAGCTTTCCTCCAGTGGCCGTTTCATGGCGTGTCCCGGACTGGCAAAAAGCGCGTTGCTCCACATCTTTCTGTTGTCCAGAGATGGAGCCCAGTAGCTGCGAAGCGATGATTCATTGTTATGTCCGCTAACGGACATGATTTGAGACATTTGACAGCCCAGGTAGTTGACGCCAATGTACTCTTTTCGTTGCGACTTTTTTCCAACGCACTCAGTCAGTTGAAACAGCCGCAAATCTTTCGTTGGTTTTGTGGTCTGTGTCCATGTCCAACCATTCATCAATACTGAGGCCCCCCCAACAAATCAAAATTAACTTTAAAATCTGACATTTTGTAGCTAACGATTTTCCAACGAGAGACAATGTAACAGTGTAACGGCTGTGTGTCGCTATGGAAACCACTACTTCTTCGCTGCTTTCTTGTTCCAGTTCGAAAAGCAAACTGCAGGCAGTTTACTTTTCGGCCCAACGGTATACTGTTTTTCTCAGACGCGGAGGGATACTGACTTGTTGTGAAAAGGCACGTTCTATTTGATCGTTGTTTGATCGTGGAATCAAACACGCCTATTGACCAATCAGAGAGCTTGCTCACACCTATGTGTTATAGAATATGAGTTATTAATTATTTTATTAATTTGTTTTTGTTTTGTTTTGGGAGTGATGCCTAAGTTGATTACATATTATCAAATTGAATAATTCAATGTATATATATACGACAGTGCCATAGCTAAATGTGTTAGTTGACGTCCAAAGTTGTGTTTTGCTCCGCTCACCGGTCCCTCACAGCGGGCAGAGCTGCAGGTGCTGATCTCTCTCTCTCTCGCGTCCGGTTATACTTCACTCGTGTTTATGTCCAAATCCATCAGATCTAGCTAGTTCTAGCCAATGATATGGCTGCTGCCCCTCCCTACACGCAGATGACGCAGACTCAAACCTCATCTTTGGCCCAAATGCGCTCCGCAGCCGTTGCGAGGTTCCGGCGCTAACAGTTCATGAGCGTGCTCCCCCGCCCCCTGTCAATACTCGCGACACATGAGTGGCCAGCCTAAACAACAATAAGCGCTGCTTGGCAACCGTGTGTGGCGGCAAAGTACATAGACATTTTGACAGGAGAGATTTAGTTTTGCCGGTATTCAACATATTTTACCAGTCATAGTCCGGTAATTATTTACACTCTAAGAAGAGTCCTACACAACAGACATGGCGTCAAAAAGGAGTAATGTGTGGAAATATTTCGACCAGGTTAGTGATTGCGATGTAGAGGTCAAACTATGCTAAATTAGGAGGGAGTGTGTTGGGGCACCACTGATGGTGATGAAAGCTGGTTCGAGGGGCCCCCACAGACTCTAGAATCGCCACTGTCGATGGGGATCAAAGCTGTCCGGTCTCACATGCTAAGTCATAGCCAGAAAGCCGCGGTGTTTAAGTCCCGACTCTCCCGATGACCAATCCGTGCCTCCCCTGACTGCACGTTGCTGACACACACCGACTCTCTGCACGGAGGAGCAGCGGAGTCCGGCGATGCTGCTCCTCCAAGGAAGAGACACACAGCCGTTTCTCAATGTCTAGGAGGCTTGCTTGGTAGCACATGTATGCTGGGCATTTAAACAGTGATTCTGCGCCACTCGATGACTTAGTATGCTTGAAATAGTGGCTCTGGAGCAGCTTTACTCGACATTGAGAAACGGGGGGTGTTTCGAGAACGAGAAAAGTCTTAACCTGAATATCGTTCTTTGTAAACATATGACAAATGTGCGAGGGTGATGACGTCAGAACATCGCCCTATGTCCCGGGGCTGTGTATTGGTCGAATACTGGTTTCTAATGGTTTCTGAGGAGTTGTACTGGAATAAAAGAGCACAGAGTACAGAAGCAACAAAGCAGCATACTGCATTAAACCTGACCTTCACAGAGAGGTTGAAGTTCATGTGGAGAGGAGGCTTCAGTAGTCCGTCTGTTTTATCTCTTGGGAACAATGCCTAAATCACATTTCTAATAAACCTTGCATTGGGTTGGTCTCACAATTCATTCTCTTGTGCTTTGCTCTATCTGAATTATGATAAGGAGTTATCACAAACGGTTTAGTTGTGCTATCTTACAATCAATATAGTAGAATAGAATAGTTTAATGTCATTATACATGTACAATGGGATAATGCTTCTCCCTTTCAAGGGTGCCATCAAAACAACAACAAAACATCACAACATAAGACAACAAAATACACGCAGCATACATACTTAGGAATAAGGGATAAAGGAATAAAGAGTAAAGTGCATTAATTATTTCCAGGAGTATACAAATAAAATCTGTAATGTAATAAATAATAATAATAGTGTGTATTTATAATAATAATAATAGTAATGATATGTATATGTACAGAGTCACATTGATTCACATGATTTCAGGTGTTAACAGCAATGATGGCTCTTGGGACTCTTTGAGTCAGTTTGTTTTGGATGTGATACACCTGTAGCGCCTGCCGGAGGGCAGCAGGTTGAACAGGTGAAAGCCGGGGTGTGAGCTGTCCTTGATAATGTGTTTGGCTCTACTGAGGCAGCGGGAGGTGTAGATGTCCATCAGGGAGGGGAGAGGGCAGCCGATGATCCTCTGTGCTGCTTTTACGACTCTCTGGAGCCTCATCCTGTCGGCCTCAGTGCAGCTGGCATACCACACTGTGATGCAGTATGTCAATAGGCTCTCGATGGTAGAGCGGTAGAATGTCACCAGCAGCTTAGTGGCCAAGTTGTTCTTCCTGAGCACCCTTAGTAAATGTGAGGTAAAGTGTGTCGCCAATGTAAGCGGTTAGAACTCCAAGTGGCGATGAGGTCTTAAAATGTATGGAAAGGGTCTTGAAAAAGGTCTTAAAAGGTCTTACATTTGACTTCAGGATTCCTGCATATATCCTGATGAAGTTTTGTACTGACGTTGTGTTTCAGTTGACGGAGTGGTGAGCTCTCTGTGGAGCAGCAGGATGGAGGAGCTGTCTAAATCCTGGGAGAGAAGAATGGCCAACAAACAGACGCTGTTCTCAGCAAAGAGGTGTGTTCACAAACCTGCACACTCTTTTGTGTTCACCAATCTATAATTACCAGTCACTATTGTGATTGTTTGAATCACATATTGACTGATACATCTCAAAATCACGTGACTTTGAGCAACTTTGTTATTGTACTAAAGCTCATCTAAACAGGTTGACTTTGTTCTCACACTCACATTTTACACTTTAAAATAATGAATTAAAGAGACAGAAATAAATATAAAAAAGGGGACATTTGTATTTATTTACTTTTTAACTTGTGCTTTTTCCTATTTTGAGTCTCCCTTCACAGAGATAAAGCGATTTGTTTCCCCATCCTTTTTTTGACCAATTGAACGGATTCTTCCTCTGTTTCTCCTCCAGCATGGCTAAAGGATTCATGTCACTGCTCGCATTCCTGGCCATCTTCATCGTGTCAGTGTGCGATCCCCAGGTAAATGATGCACAGACACTCACATGCTAACAGAAGTGATGAGGAGATGAAGGGTGATGAAGATGAAGTGCTCACTGTGTTCCTTCCTCCTCTCTTCAGAGTTTTATCATCATGTTGGAGAAAGTGGTCTCGTTCTCCCTGAACACTGAGGTGGGACTGTTCATCTTCATCATGCTCAGAGAGTCCAGAGAGGACAGATTCAAGTGAGGAACGCTGTCTTGTATTATGTGTTTTGCACACTTTCCTGTAGTGTGTTCTGGTTTGTGTGCATGTCAATGGTCTGCAAAAGCTCAAATCCATGTGTTCCCTCCAGAGGGGGTTTCTCTCCCACACACGAGCTGCTGTTCTTTTCAACTGTTATTAGATTTAGATTGCAGCTGTAGGCTTGTGTAATACAAACATTGAAATACATGCAGAGGGTTGTAAAATCAAGTCAACATTTGTTTTTAAAAAGAAGGTTGATGTTGTAGTGCCGAGAAATCATTTCCAAAACATGTTTTTAACAAATATTCGGCTTCATTCCAAACTTATAGGTGTTAAACCAAAACATGATTTTAACAAAATATATAAAAAGCTCCTGCCTGAGAGTGACGCCCCCGATCACTTATTGAGGAGAGAGAGTAGTTACGTAGGAATAGTGAATAGACGGTCTTCCTGGTTGAACTTACGCTGAGCTCCATTTGTTGAGTTTCATTGAGACGTCATTTATTCTTTGTGATTCCAAATATACTTTGCTGCTATCCTTTAGAAATAACTCTTCATTCTTCATTACTTTCCCAATTCACCTTCTTCATTTCACTGCTCTAAACATTCAACATGTATTGCTACAATTTATGTGAATAATTATAACTGTAGGGAAATACAATAATTATGGGGAGAATAGAGACGTGTTTATACGTCCCTTCCAATCAATGCATGATATTAAAGTGACACTGTGTAGCTGAGGCAGAAATAGCAAACAAAGCGTTAACAGTAATCAAAGCCGAATCATTATTTCAATCTAAATGGAGCTTGTGTTTTTTCTCTTAGTTCAAAATAAGTAATATTTCTTCAGGAAACCAGAACATTATCCAGCTGTAAGATAACTAGTAAATATAAATAATAAATCAAATCTATTCACAGTTTTCCTCCAACGCAACATTTCAACTAATGGAAATATTCTCGATATGTTGTGGATGGTACTTTATACTTAAAGTGGACCCCTCATGCTATATTTGAATACTATATTATAGGGCCATACCTATATAAAACATGTCTGCAAAGTTTTTTTTCAAAATACCAAACAGATCATGCATTTTAGCCATGCTTCATTTCGCTCTATTTGCTCTTTTCCAGCCCTGTTTTTGCAAGGGCTGAATCTGTGAGAAGTCTTCTTCTCTGCTTTTGATGCAGACTACAGCGCCACCTACAGGCCTGGCATATGTACTACAGTGTCTCCAGCGCTTTCGAACGGCAATGACCGTGGCTGTCTCCTCCTGATAGGTGGACACAGAGACGTCAGAGATATTTCAAATCTGTATCAGTCTGTATCAGATCTGTTGCAGCCCCTTTTTTAGAGATTTGGGTATGGAGGAAAAGAGAGAGGGTTGTGTTTTCTGAGTTCCCTGGAACACCGGGGACACATATTCATGTATAAAAGACGTACAAAAGTGCATTTTGCATGATAGGCCCACTTTAAAATAAAAATGATTTGATATGATGTTTAACTCTCTCTCCCACCCCCTCCTCCCCCCAGACACATGGCGGTCCCCCTGCCGGTGGGGGAGTGTGTGTTCAGCCTCAGCTGGCTGCTGCCCACCTACTTCCTGTTTGCGGTGACCTACGACGTCCTGCAGACGGTGGCCGACGTGGCTCACTACATCGCCGTGTACAGCCACAGTCAGGACACCCCCCCACACAACGTGACGGGGGGGCTGACAGCAGCCAACGCCTCCATCCTGCTCTGATGAGGGGGGAGGGGGGGGGGTGAAGTGCCAACAAATCTGAAGCTTCGCAAAAAGTGCTTTTATATAATATGATACGATGTAGCCATTGTTTTGTCTTTGGGGCCATACTTTGAGTTTTTGCACTTTCCCATGGCATCTTTTCAAACATGCTTTATATATATGATGACAAAGCACACTTGTAAATATGACATACGTTTTATTGACGTTATATATCTTACACTATAGGTTGAATTACTGGCAATGCAGAGAATAACAAAGCATTTATTTAAATTACAATGTATGTTATGTTTAGTTTATTTATTATTATAAAATTATTCAATATAACCACTATAAATGTACCGTTTTGAATCACGCTTATCTTCTTTTATGCTAAAGCCACATGGTACGGCTTGAATCGACATGCATTGCATTGCTACACCGGCTCAGTGTAGGGAAACCCAAAGAGTTTGTCCTTTGGGGCCGTATGTAAGTTAAATCAAAAGTATTCCCAAACGTTTCTGCACAATGCACCGTTTCTATCCTGACTGTCACTGCGGATTGTTCTGCACTCCTCATGCGTTGCACACTGAGGCAGAAAGTCACAAGTTCTCTCAGGATTCATCATTCCTCTCTATTTATCCTCCCCACACAACTTAGAAAATCTCTAACCTACAAAAGTGACATCATTATTTTGTACAGCTAAATGATGTTCTTCATTCAGGCCTTATAATGTTCCAAGGCTGAGCCCATTGGGACCGGGAACCTGTGTTCGCCCTGACAAAACGGAAAGGTTGACTTTAATTCAATGTATTGTGTCAACAGGTTACACATAGTATTAGGTTAGTTAAAAGCAATAATATTGTGAACATAATGTATTTATTTAAACGTAATTGCTTTTAGCTAACCTAATACAGTGTACAATTGTTTTCTGGGGCCCGTATACTTTTTGTTTACGTCTCCTATTCACGTTATGACCGCCAGCTCTAAGGCGCTTCCACATTGCCGGTACTTCCTGGTTAAAGTGTAATTGCTATTACTTTGCATAGTGTCACCAGCTTTATCTACCTTTACTTGCCAAATACAGTTATTAAGCTTTTGAATGAAGTTTTATTAAGTTATAACAGTTTTTCAGGCCAGAAAATAACTATTTCTACATTTTGTGATTACTCTCACTAAATGAAAGGTAGACACAGGTCTGTACTAAAAGTCTAACAATAAGGTGTGAATAATCATTCAAATTTCAATTAGGAGAGCCACGAATTTGGCAATAGCTAGCTCGATAGCTAACATTCGCTAGATGGGAAGCTATGGTGAGTTAGTACACTCAGGGAGGTTTCATTTTGGAGATGCAAATCCAGATTGTTGCAACTTCCCTTTACATTAAGAAGAAGAATATTCCTGTAGCTCTATGAACATACAGTGAGAGTAAAGCATGCCTCTTTAGTTTCATTGTGTCACCAGCATGAGGGACGTTCAAGCTCTCATTCAATGTTTTATTGGTCATATTTTTTGTGTTTTCACGTGAATAAAACACAGATTGTCACTGACTACAGCATTTGTACGCACACTCAATAAAAACACAAAACTCTTTATCAAAATATATTTTATTCTGGACTTTTGTTCCACTGATCTGAGTTAAAATGATAACAGATGGATGTGATGGAAACATGGGGGAGACGCTGGCCGCCGACATGACTTTCTGCTGACAGAGAAAGGCTGAGTCAGCAACTTTGGCCACCCGACTAAACTGTGGCACAGACCGGAGGAGTGAGATACTTTCAGAACTGTTGGCTCAAGTGCTCTAAACACAGCGGAGAGAAACGGAACACAGGACTCTCAATAGGAACACATTTTGGAGAAATGTCGAAATTATTAGAGGCGGAAATTAAGTTAGTGTTTTTGGTGTCGTTAAAACCTCTGTACCTAAAGCTTAAACTTAGTCCAATTGAAGGTTAAAATCCAATTCAAATGTATGAGAACTAAAACATGTCATGATGGTGTGAGATGAGTTCACTTGTTTTCAGTCAAATATCACCAGAGAATAAATATTGTTCGACTCTGCCACTGCACAGGAAACATATTTTAGACTTCTAACAATCGGACAGGAACAAAAAGCCAATTAGAAATGTTCCCTTCAAATTTGCACAGAAAAATATTTTTCAAAAGAAATGTCTAAAGTGTTCTTGATCAAATAAGACACATACGAAAGTCCATATTCAACCAATGAAATGGTGTCTGCTTCCAGAGCAACCCTCTTCGTGACTGTAGCGAAAATAAAAGGGGAACCAGAAAAAGTCCCTAGAGTCTTTGCTTGATTGAAAAATTACAATTTTATTCAATTTAAAGAGTAACTTTTTTTCTGAATTGTCTTCTCTGTAGGCCGTCGTTTTCTGGGACAAAACTTCCTCCCAAAAAGATCCAAGCAAAAAAGAAAAGTAAAACATTTCTTTATTAAACATAGACACATTTAGTGGTAATCTGCTCCGGGACACGTGTTCCGCAGCGAGGCGCCTCAGATCCGCAGCTCAGGGTTTGCTATTTGAAATAGCATCAAAGTAACAAAACAAAACATTTAAAAATGTATAGAACATGTCAATTAACACCGCCAATAAATCATCAATTCACATTTTGTTTTCAAATCTACAAAGAAATTACAAAAATGTAACTTTAAATGTGTCTTTAAAAGAGTATAAAATGTGTTGTCAGTAAGGAACCTCGGAGAAAAACGTGAAGCAGAACCGAGAGTGAGCGAGGGCAGAGTCCGATGCATTGAATGCACCACATGTTTTCAATTATTTTACGTCACATCTCTAATGTCCTCCAGCGTGAACGCAGTGTCGTTGTTCCCCCACAATTTGACAAGTAGCTGTTTATAAAAAAGAATGTCCAAATATTGCTTTAGAGCTTGATTCTGAAGAGCAGCCTCGTGCCGGTGGGATTCAGGCTGTCATTTTGTATTTTTGAGTGTGATGTGAAGGCAGCTCAGTCACCCCCCCCCCCCCATGGATGTGCATGTTAATGAAACTGTCATGTATTTAGTCTTGGAGGCAGAGCTGTTCCACTAAAACAGGGCAGAGCCAGGAACACTTTTCCCAGAGTTCATAGCCACATGTGTCTAAATAGTATTCTCTGTTCTTTTTTTGTGTTGCTTTTTTGCTGACAACCCAATACGTCACCTTTGATTGGAAAATAGAGACACTACGACTGCCACTGATGATTCGACGTACGAAACTGTATCTGAGAATCTGTTGGCTGCGTTCACATGGAGATGTTCAGACTGACTTGACTTTTATATTGAGCAGCCAAAGGTATAAAACCGTGAATGTGTCCCCCTTGCTTGTAATTCATATCTGAACTTACGATGACATACACTAAAAACTGTCAGAAAACCGTCAATGTCGCAAAAACAGATCACAAAGTCAGTTTTCCTGGCCATCCACAGTTACATTCAACTTTAACTCCAAGTGTAAGGCGCCAGATATTTGAAATAAAAACGAATAACCATTTGAGAGTCCTTGTTTTCACTTGTTAGCCAATTGCAAACACACAGAGCAATAAAAAGTGTGTGGACGCTGCCAATCAGATGAAGAGCTTGAGTCCAGCTCCTTTGACTCTACCCTCTGTGGTTTTAGACGCTGAGAAGCTGCAAAAACATCCTCTTTTCCCAGCATACATCAGGGTATTCCATGGTTTGAGGCCTGAATCAAATTAGGTAAGAAGGTCAGCTGGAATCCTACTGGCTGGGGATGCAAACTCCACATTCAGATGAGTGGAGGTGAGCTTCCTGTGATGTCATGAGTCCAGAGAGAAGCATCTAGATCAGAGTGCACAGAGGAGCTGTTCTTAAAGCATCTAGATGGACGTCATGTGACAGGAGGATGTACAACATGAGCTACTGCATTCTGATGTAACCGTATGACCCATGAGTGAGTGTGTGTGTGTGTGTGTGTGTGTGTGTGTGTGTGTGTGTGTGTGTGTGTGTGTGTGTGTGTGTGCGTCCTTCTCCAATCCCCCTCCCCCCGAAGATAACAAATATAAAAACATTGAAACAAGAGATCAGAAATTTAAAAAAACTAAGTGCCGTCCTATTTTATGGTGGAGGAGTTCGATATGTCTGCACGATGAGATCCAACGAGTAACGAAGAGCAACACTTTTTTCATTGTTTTTCATTTTGATGACGATGAGCGATGGTTTAAAGATAAAAAAAAGCAAAAGAGCTTCCAAATGTCGGCACATATAGGGATCTGTAACTTTTTTTTGTCTATCAGTTTTTTTCTTTTTTTCACTGCGTCCCTTCTGCATCTCTGTGAGAGTCTCTGTGAGAGAGGGGCCGTCCGTCCCCCCGGGTCCCTCCGTCTGTTCACCCCTGTCTGGACCTGCTGTGTGGGCTGCTTCCTGTTCCTGTTTCCTGCTTCCTGTCTGTCGGTGGGCGGGGCCGTGAGCGTGAGCAGTTGGCAGGGCGAGGGCAGGGACAGTCATTTGGCTATGTACACATTCATGGTCGGTCCATGGCTTCCAACAAACAGCGGCGCTATTTCCGAAGGTCTAGTACACACACCTGGGACAGGGGGACAGGAGGACAGGAGGACAGGGTCAGAACGTGGACAGAACTGTCCGAATAAAAGCTGCAGAGGTCCTGAGTATACTCACAGATCCGTCTGACGCGCTGGCTCCCACTTTGTCCCCGGCTGCGTTCCAGCAAACCTCAAAGATCCCCCCCGTCCCTCTGTAGCTGTGGACTAAAGCGCCCGTCTGTACACACAAGGGACAAAGAGACATGGTTTCATAGTTTCCTTTTATTCTTTATTGCTGGATTTTGAACCAAACCGTAACCCAATGGTGTACAGTTTCTAATTTCACAGGATGTCAAATTAAATAATGTACAGGAATAAAATGCTGTTTATTGTAATAATAAATAAATGTTAAGCATTCATCTGTTTGCATTTTATCATTTCAATAAACTGTATTTATTCCTTTACAGTATTTCATTTAACATTCGGTTTTAGCTCATGTTATTCTATTTTACATGTATGTCGTTTTCTTCTTACACTTTTACTTGCACATTGGTCACTTTGCACTATTTTATTTCTATTATGGTTCTTTTTGCACTATTTTAATTGTTTTATTATTGTATGTCTTATTCATGTTGCTTTGTTGAAGGAGCCTGGGACTGCAGTTGATCCATGCCATAACAACACTGGAGCTACTGTGACAGTAAAGCCTTGACTCTGAGTCCTTCAACCTGTTCAGCCCTGAGCCTGTTTTTCAGGCCTCAGGCTCCAAAATGACATTCCCAGAACAAAGGACCATATCTTCCCTTCTAAAAGGGGTACATTCATCATCTTTTTTCTCAAAGCAAGGTTACACCTGTGAGTTGGATGTAGAAAAGTCAGAATCAATATAGATTTTTTTTATTTTAAAGTAAATTCAGATTGAACATATTAAAAAAAATGTAAATGATTGTTTCCGTCCAAAAAAAACACATTACTTCTAGTGAAAACCACCCTTGAATGATGGGATAGTAGAGTAAAAGCTTTAGGAATCCAAACTATAACATATGATAATAATCTTTAGAGAGATTTAGAAAAAAAACCCACTTCTGGGGTCATTTGGGTGGATTTTCCACATCTCTGGCCCCCCTCGGTCGATTTTGATGATTGACACCTCTTTTTAACCGTTAGAGCCAATAGAATCGAGGGGACGTTCCTAAAATCCATCTAAACATTACCCATTGGTGAATAGAGTGATGCGTAGCCAGAATTCCCCGGAACCGGAAGCTGCGACACACTCTGGTGGCTATCGTAGCAGCTAATATGAAAACTCCGTTATGGACATACATATGATGATGGATTATCAGTAATCATTTCAAAGTGACATTGGTTTAACCTTCATCAGCGTTGTTATTGTTGTAATGCCATTGAAGACGACTTTTGATCAGAACAACAGCAACAGTAAGACTTATTTTCTGATTTGGTCCCGTAAAGCTAATTTTTGTTGTTGTTGTTTGTTGTCATTTCGCCGCGAGTTCTGGTCGCTCAGTGGTGATACTAATACCTGTAGAATCTGTGGAATCTCAGCTTGCTAATCGACATCTTATTTGTGCAGATCTGATAAGTAATAAGGCTGTTTTAACGTGAGTTCTGTGCTAAGTGCGTTAGCATTTTTTCGCTCAGGGCTCATTTAGACGCTTCTTGTGAGACTTGTGTTTTGTTTCGGTAAAAATGGTTCGTATCGTCAGTTAGCTGAGTTTCTTCCCGTTAATCGGGTATTACACATTAATAGGTTTTTAAATGTTAAGAAGCCCTGAGACACAGTTTTTTGTCAGAAATGTATCATTGAAGAAAAGAAACTGCTGGTGGAGCATTAAAGTATTTATTTGTATATCCGGTGGTTAGAAAAACATGTAACAACATTATTTTGTAACCACTGGATTAGATTTTTGCATTTTATCCATGGTATTTATTTTTGTTTTAATGCTTTTTTTTTCCAAATTGGATTTCCATGTTATGTTATAAGTCCTTTTAGGTTTTATTTAGTGTTAATATGTGCAGGTTCCTCTACGTAAAGCTGCATATTTGGCTGTATACATGAATAACAAGTTAAAGAGCCTGTGACACGAGTTTCCCCCATCATCCAAACCCATCAATTTGAGTAAATATTGACCCTTGAAAATCGTTACTGAACTGATTTTGGATATTTGTACTTTGATAACCATTAATCTGCCCTTCAATGTTGACCATTTTCTGGATCTTCTCGGGGATTCTTCAAGTCCCGCCAAATTATGTGTGACGTCATTGCGGGCACAGCGCTCCAGCTGCACCGTTCAGGATCCCAGCATCTGCATGTAAACGCACGATGGCGCACACAGCAGCAAGCTCAGACAGCGATGACAGTTTAATTTTGAACGTGTCTGAGAGCTCATATGAGGCTGAAGGATCGGTTTATGTTGTATCTGTTAGAAGTTTAGGAATTAGGTGCGTCAATATGGGCGATCATACGGTCATGTAGCCAGTGGTGGACTGGGACTAAAAATCAGCCCGGGACTCTCGACCGGCCCACTTCGGTACCGCTAGTAAATTGTCAACGGGGGGAGTGGGGGATATCAGGGGCGGCGGGTGCTGTAGATAGTAAATGTAAATATGTAAATATTTGCATCCTCGTAAAATACAAATATAATGTACAATGTCTGTGTCTTTGACATTAGCGCTGCTAGCCACCTGTGCCCTGTACTACGAAGCCAGTTCAACAGACCCTGGATATGTTTGAGTAACAAACAAACTAACAACAACAAACTAACAAACGAGATCTCGCTAAGCGGTCCTACTACGCTGGTTATCAACTCGGTAACTCAAGCCAGGGTTTCTCTCTCCAGCTGAGAGCGCGTTCACGTCTAAGACACGAGTGGATCTGACTTTAATTACATTTGACTCGAGTGTTTCGTCAACATAATGTGTTGCTTAAAATAATACTTCTCTTCTGCATACAGTATGTGACACTGTAAGTGTTGCACGGCCAGATACGGCTGGAGAAGCTGACTCAGATAAGGAAATATATGATACATTATATGATCAATGATCTGATTGATGATGTGATATGAATGATAAGTGCGACACGTCGGCGTCTTCTCTGCATACGACAGTTTAAACTGTATTTCCTTTATCCTGTAATATGATTTGAGAGATTTAAACTCCGCACACTGAGTTGATCTCTTTTCTATAGACGCCGGAGGCGGGCAGCGTCAGGTAAACAAAGTTATTTAGCCTTCCCAAACCTGAGCCTCACGCGCCGCCTATGGGGGATGTGCTAGTGATTTATCCGACCGGCCCACTTCGGTACCGGCCCATCGGGATTCGTCCCGATGGCCAGTCCGCCACTGCACCCAGCCCACGTAAACTGTCAACGGGGGGAGCCTCGCTGCGGGGAAACGGTGGACATAGTGTCCCGATCGGAGTGGGAATAATAATAATAATAATAATCCGTGCATTTTATCCATTAATTTCCCCAACATTGTGGTGAAAAAACCACACGTTTAATCCATGTTGGTGTACAACTACAAAAAGCATCGGTTTGTTTTCTCATCAGGAAATGCAGACCGGCACAAACAAACGATTTTTAATCATCATCCCCACGATCATTTAATGTATCATATGTTCGCCGAATTGACATGAAAGCACTAATAAATGTAGTTTCATCCACTTGAGTTTACAACTACAAAAATAATCGATTTGTTTTTATATCACATCCGACGGTAGGAAATTCAGCAGCTCTCACTACTGATTTGTAATCCTAATGTAATCATCATCTTCACCACGATCATTTATGTTTATGTTCGCCGAATTGACATGAAATCACTGACACATATGAATATACTGTAGTCAACTTCATTAAAACGTTATTAACGTGCCTAAACTCAGTAATTCACCATTTCTACGCATGACAACACACTTTGTCCGTGTTTGGCTCTCTCGCCGCACAGTGAAGCGTTCCCGCATTGACGTCACTTCCGGCTTCCCCCAAAACTTCAAAATGAGTCGAAGGAATTTCCCCGCGATGTTCGAAATTATTGATATTTAACGGAACGGTATCGCAACTTCTTTTTTAAACTGACGGTTCGAGATGACTAGTAGCCCAATATTTCATTGCACAACAGTTGTTGGGATGCTGTCACAGGCTCTTTAAACATGTAGTGTAAAGAGAAGGATCAGTAAATAACTCGTCCACATGGTGATAGTATAATGCTGGCTCTTTAATGACTAAGTGTCCATCTATAGAAGTGTTACGTGCATCTATGTAAGAAGGAACCTGTTAAAGGGCTGTCACTATTGAGCTTTGTTTGCTCCGTCATGCAGTGGAAGTGTGCCATGTTTGCCCGAACAGAGGGATGTCTCTATAGAAACACCTTCCTCCAGTAGCTGCAGACAGACCCAAAGATAACGTTACCCTGACGTTTCATAAAAGTGCATTTATGCTGTTGAAGCTGCACAGCTGGCCTCATCCTCTGTACCTGTGTATTCCAGATGTGCACACATTTGTCGAAGGAGCCGCTGGCCAGGTGGCGCCCGTCGGGGCTGAAGGCCACGCTGTAGACGGGCTCCTGGTGCTTGGTCAGCGTGTGGATGCAGATCCCCCGCTCCACGTCCCAGAGACGGACCGTGGAGTCAAACGATGCACTGTGGACACACGAGAGGGGGGGGGGGGGGGGGGGAAAGAGATCAGGACATGCTTTCTAAAATGTGGACTAATAAAACAATTGCGGTTTTAGATCTCTGGGTTTAACTGAGACATTTTGATTATCTGCAATATTGCAATAAAAGAATGTAAAAAGTGTTCCAGATGTAGCTCGATGGGTACATCAGATGTGTGCCATTAATGACACAAATCATGTAAATGTAATATCATAAGGAGTTTTAAAAGCTCTCATTGCAAACACAGAGAGTGGGGACAACTAGTATGGTTAGCATTTTCAAATTTGTATGCATTTGTATTAGATGTTTACGGTGAAAGACATAAACAACTGGGTGTTATCAGTACACTGACCCCTGACTGTATACTTCGTTTTTTACCCCTGTTGAACTTTTTTTTCTCCAATATTTTATTAAAAAAGGCACACTTTAAATCAAATATAAAAAAATAACTCAATTGAAATGTAGATAACAATGTATCTAAAGCTTTCAGTAAAGCAGGCAGGGGGCTGGCTGAATAACTACATGCTGAACATCTGCTGTGTGAGTGGCTAACTAGCGTAGCATTCTGATGCTGTGACTCTCACCTGGCTAGCATGAGGTTAGCGCTGGGGTTATTGGTTCCAGGCCCGGTTGGACTCCATTTGATGGTGTAGATCTCTTTACTGTGGGCCTGCAGGTCATGGACACACGCGTCCTGCTTCATACTCCAGATCTGCAGGAGAACAAGACACATTCAGAAATGTATCCAAAACTCAAATTGATCATTAAAGGACATCTGTTTTAACATGCAGAAGAACATTTATTCATCAAAAAGTGGGACCAGGGAAGAAACTTTAAACAGGAAACAAATAAAAGGTTGCTCTTGTGTAATGAAGAAGTTTAGCATATCATATATACAACTGGAGAAGCTGAGTTTTCAGTTACTCATATGAAATGCTTTAGTCACATATCGACAGGCAATCATTTGCACCCCATTACTCACTTTGACGTGAATGTGGGTATAGTGTTTGAAACACATGATAGGAAATGATAAAAGAAAGAAAGAAATGTCCCAACGAGGCTAATGCTTCACGCTGTGCATCGTGTAGTGCTGTTTAACTCTGCAGAGGATTCAAATTCACATGTACTGTAATTAAGTTGATTTATAGCTCATTGTAAAACCACTAACTCCGACATCTGAACAGACATTTAGAAGGACGTGTTGAAGAGCAGGGGAGATGGATGCTCTTTCCAGAATCCCCAGTCATCATGATCACATCATTACTTTCTTTATGACTCAGCACTCTGAGGTCACAGGAAGAAGCTGCTGCAGAGTGATATTGATGACACCAGATGTCCAATATTTCACCGTGGCATCAGAGCTCACCTTCAACGTCATGTCGTCTGAGCAGGAGGCCAGCAGGTTCCCTGTGGGGTCCCACTTGATTGCATTTACTTCATTCTGGAGGGAGAAGAGAGTTTGTTTGAGATGTGTGTGTTTGTTTGAGATGTGTGTGTGTGTCTGTTTCTCCAGGGACACCATCAGAAATGAAGACGTTTAAAAAAGAAATCAGGAATTTATGCTAACTTTAGATCCAATGTATTGCTATCAAAACAGTACGTAGATCAAATACTCAACAGTAAAACAACTGAAACGTTGATTTTATTGGTATTTTTGTATTTAAACGTAATATTATGGCTTTCAACTAACCTAATGACCTTTCATAGGATGCACATGAGTATTAAATATACATATCTCACACACACACCATATCTCACACACACACACACACACACACACACACACACACACACACACACACACACACACACACACACACACACACACACACACACACACACACACACACACACACACACACACACACACACACACACACACACACCCACACACACACACACACACACACAACACACACACACACCACACACACACACACACACACACACACACACACACACACACACACACACACACACAGCACTCACTGTGTGTCCCTGGAATGTTTTGATGGGCCTGTCCTGTCCCAGTTTACACACGTGGATGCACATGTCTGTGCTGCAGGAGGCGAACGTGTTGTTGCTCTGCCAGTCCACGTCGAGTGCCGGAGCTGTGAGGGCGAGTTAGAGACACACGTGAGAGAGATCCAAACACAGCGGGAACATTGTGAGTGACAGGAAGTGAGGCTGCTGTACCTGAGTGGAAGGGAAACTGTTGTTTGGCTTCTCCTGTGTGGGCATCCCATATGATTGTTGTCTGGCAGGACACATGCACATGTTCAGTTAGAGCTAACAGGGACTACACAGCACACTCATGAGAAATAAGGCTGCAGGTTAATTATTTACTGAACACTTCCTGCTTTACCTTGTCTACTCCTGCACTCAGGATAAAATTGCCTTTTTTATTCCACTTTAGGGCGAAGATGGGACCTTTGTGCTGGCCCAGTGTGCTGGCCAGGTTCCCTGTGGAGCAAGACAGGAGGGGAGGAAACAGTTAGTATCATCAGAAGTCCCTCCCCATAGGCCGAGGAGCACGAGGTGGAGAGTTGTGATTATAAATATTGTTAGTGACATTATGAAAACTGCTGGTACTTTAACAATGCTTATCCGGTGGCAGAGGGTACTGGTTTTCTGTTTTTTGGCTGCATAGTTTATTATAGACTTATTATTTGAACTGACAACATAACAAAACAAATCAGCCTCACCATAATGTGTTCAATATGCACTTACACATCCATGTGATCAAACTAACTGAAAAGGCAAAAGTGTCCCAAGGGTTAATGGTCTAAATTACACGTCAGAACCTTGGTGGCAATATGCAAACCTGCCTTTAGGTGGCAGCATTGCTCAGTAAACAGAGCCATGAAGCACACAGGCTGTAGTCCATCAGTGCACATCGTACACTTTAACTCTTGATATAACATATTCCCCCGGATGTATGCTTTTGCTCGTTATGGTGATTAAATGAAGTCAGCTCACCGTCCTTCGTCCATATTCTGGCAAAGCCGTCATACGAGCCTGTCGCTAGCAGTGTGCCTTCGCTCTGCAGAGAGAGAAACAGAGAAGTTAAAGAGTGTGTCAGAGAGTGTGTGTGAGTTATTTGAATACAGCTGTCTGAACTGTGTTTTGCAGCATCAGCCTTACTGAGTCCAGGCTGAAAGAATGTAATGAGAGGTCTGTGCTTTCCATCAGCTGGACGCTTTCCAGGAAGCGTTGGTCTCTGCCCTTGGCTCAGGTTTACAATCCACTGGCTGAGCCAAAGGAAAATTCCTCTCTGATGTTCTCCCGCTGTTACAGCTCATCATCAGTAACGTACAGGGAGCTTTGGGAGTCCCTATGGGAGGGGCTTTGGGTGCAATTTGCCTTTCTGATGCGCACAGGAGTGTACGTGCAGCACATTCATGCATTTCTGTCTTTATATCTCCTTAGTGGTCAAATGTTTAACATAAGTATACATAAATAAGTAAAAAGGCATACATTATGGCTTTGAAGCGGCATGACAACATGAAATCGCACAACAACAAAAAACACTCCTGCCATTATTGCAACTGCACCCCCGCATGGTGACCCACATGTTACATGGTGTGTGTCAGCGTGCTTACATTCCAGTCTAGCGAGGTGACGTCTTTGTTGCTGGGGACGTCCTGCCCCCCCTCTCGTATGCAGTGTCTCAGCACCAGCTGTGTGGAGCTGCTCGTACTGTTCTCACTGAGGTTCCAGATACGAGCCGTCGAGTCCCCAGACCTGACAGACACACACACACACACACACACACACACACACACACACACACACCACACACACACACACACACACACACACACACACACACACACACACACACACACACACACACACACACACACACACACACACACACACACACACACACACACACACACACACACACACACACACACACACACACACACACACACACACACACACACACACACCACACACACACACACACACACACACACACACACACACACACACACACACACACACACACACACAGGCAATTCAGCATAAACCATGTTGAAAATGTAAATATCACACTGATGCTGGGCACAGGCTAAAATCATCATCACAATGTCAATAACAAATCTTTTAACATGATTTACAGAAAAATCAAACAGATGTTTCTCAAAGTCAACAGCGCTCCACTAGTATGCATTACTTTAGCAAACTTCAAATTATGCAAAAGTAGCTCCTTCAGTTCAGAGTCCTACATTTAGATGACTGCGTTAAACTCTAAATGATCATATTAGGGCACCAGGATTCACTGAAACCTTGTTAGTTAACAGTAAATAAACTCAAGAGGCTTTGTAGCATCACCTCCTGTGCTGTATAAGAAAGGCAGAGAAAGGAACTAGCTGTTGTTGCCTCATACCGACTGAGCGTGAAGTGTCAGAGAAGAGGTGACTCACCCTGAAGCCAGCAGGTCGCTGACGGGGTTCCAGGCACAGATGAAGACTTCTGACTCGTGGCCCCTCAAGACCATGGCCTTGTTCTGAGGGATCTCTACGTCTCCGTCCACCTCCATCAGGTCTGCATGGTTATCTAAGCACACGGCAAGGCAGTACAGTATACACATCAAACCAAGGTGAAAACACATTGGCCATCACTCGCCACAGCCCTTATCTCTTTGTAAGCATATCACTCACTAGCTAAGGCATGGGCTCCGTTCTCCTCCCCGTTGGCAGTATTCTCTCCGTTCTTGGCGTTGCCGGCGATGCTGCCTCCGGTGGCCGAGGTCGGGGCTGAAGTGGCCGCCTGCTGCTGCGCCATTTTATCTCTGTAGGCCTGCTGCCGCGTCTGAACAACGTCCGGCATCACTGCGTCAATCAGAGACAGAGACTCTATGGGCCGCCCGTCAAATAGTGTGCCATCCTAAAGAGAAGAGGAATAAACAGTTAGGGAGGAGAAGAGGAGAGAGCCGAGGGGAAAGAGGAGGAGACAAGGAATTAAGGAGAGAGAAGAAGAGAGAAAAGGTGACAAACATGTAATACGGTGAGAAGAAGAAAAGAGACAAGAAAAGGAGGAAGGACAAATATGAGAATAGAGGGAAGGATACATGGATAGGAGGAGGAGAAGATAAATGAGGGGAGAGGGGAAGGGGCAAGGAAAGTAGACACGAGGACAGGAGAAAGGGACCGTATAAGAGACAAGGTAGGAAGAGCAAAGAGAGAAGGAGAGGAAGAGAGGTAAGGAGATTGTAGGGGGGAGGACACAAGGAGAGAAACGATAACAAAGGGAAAGCACATAAGGAAAGAAGAAGAGGAGACGAGAAGGGAGAGCAAATGGGAAAGGATGGGAGAAGAGGAGATAAAGAGAGGGGATAAGGAATGTAGAGTAGAGAGGAGTGTTTCCGTGTTGTTGTTGTTGTTGTTGTTGTTGTTGTGCCCCACCTCGTTGATGCTGACTTCAGCCTCCACGTACTGCAGGCCCTTCTGGATGATACTGATCAGGGCAGCAGGGGGCACCAGAGCTCCATTGATGTTGGACTGGCTGATGTGACTCTCTATCCCGAAAGTGAACGCTGAGTGGGAGAACCCTGGAGAGGAGAGCAGGCATTTCATCTCATACTGTACAAAACAGTAAATAGCATTTCCTTCATGATTTATTTAGGGACTATATCTTACGTTTCCTCCACTGCCATCGTGATCCTTGCACACGAGTGCTACTAACCTTTTTCTCTATTCATACTCGCCCACGTGTTTCTTTTCTAGATAACTCCCCCATCATAGACTTTACGGTGTTCATGAAACAGTGGTGTAAGAAGTTCTAGATCCTATACTTAAGTCAAAGTAGTCTAAAAATACTCTGTTCAAAGTAAAAGTCCTGCATTCAAAATATTTATTAAGTAAAAGTACAAAAGTATGTAAGTATGTAGACTCACTATCCACAGTGGTCATTTTCAGAAAATAAAAAAGAATTAGTGACGCATTAATGTGTCTCTAATTGTAATTGTTCAGTGTTTAAAGATGGCATAACTTGAATCCCTTTTTATACTGCAAGGCATTTCTATCCATAGCAGTACAGTATAGTGTATCAGTTGATTTATTATGTTATGAATAATATAAACCTGCCAAAGTCATTAGTAACTATTGTTGTTAAATACAATGTAGTGAGTAAAACATGCAATATTTGCTTCCAAAATGCAGTGGAGTAGAAGTAGAAATTAGCATAACATATGACTTTATAGCAGGGGTGTCAAACTCAAATTCATCACGGGCCACATTCGCATTATGGTTGCACTCAAAGGGCTGTTTGTAACTTTAAGACTATATAAAAATACATATATAAATATTTAATACATATAAAATAATGTATTATATTGGATTATAATCGGATAGGGTAATAACTTCAGAATTAACTCGGTCTGAAAGCAGAAGTCTGGGGCAAATAATTGCAAGTCTCTTCAGTGAGAATGTCACAAAATGATTTTTAAAGACATTTTGAAAAAAAAGTCAATTCTGAGAAAAAAGGCATATTTAGAAGAAAAAAAGTCAAATTTGAGATGCATTGTGCTCCATGTATGGGCAACCTGCTTCTGTACATCGCCATGTAACCGTATAACAAACATATTATATTCTTTGCAAGCTCTTGTGGGGCCACATCAAATGAAGTCACGGGCCGGATTTGGCCCCCGGGCCTTGAGTTTGACACCCCTGCTTTATAGGGTCTGAATAGGCCAACTTGTTGCCAGCTCAGTAGCCTTTTGGGACGTGTAAATGTGAATCATTCTCATCGGGTCTGCTGTATTATTACACATGACAGCTGAAGCCTTTGTCCATATAAAAACACATAGTAATCGTGTACATTATTTATGTGTCAATTAAAATATGTTCAATAGACAAACAGGATCTTTGTGTTAAATGTAAAGGATCAAAAGGCCTGTCATTATTTGACGCACCACTTCTGTGTTTCAATAAAAGATTAAACAAGAATGTAAACGTGACGGAATGTTTTTGATTTATGTTAGCCATCTGTGCCAAAAGTATTTGATATGAGGCGAGGGACGTTAAGTTTCACACGGTTCATTGACACACATGTGAGAGTGTACTCTGCACTGATACAGGGTTACAAAGCGCAGCGCAGTAGATGAAAGGTCAGTGTCACAAAGGTTAGGAAGCCGGCATTTATTAGTGACCAGTGACACATTTGAAAGACTCTTTAACCATGAGGTTTCCCTCTCGGTCAGAAAAGCACCACCAATAATACAAATGTGTACTCCCAATGTGCAGGTCAGGGTTTGGCATTACAGCCTTTAGCACAGTTCTTAGTGTAAATACAGTCTATGCATTTAGGATTGATTTAGTAGTGGATAACCCCCCCCCCCCCCCCCACCACTGCAGACAGACAGTGAGTGTGTGTGGTGCTGTTCTCTCTTCAATCTAAATGTTCCTTTCATACACCCAGCTGACCCACACACATGGTGTTGTGTAACCACCTAACATGCAACTTGTTGAAAGAATCAAACAGAGACAGGCGTTTCTCTCATGTGTGGAGTCATGCAGGGGAACGATACAGATACAATATCAGAAACAAATGTTATAAAATACATGAAATAGTACTGCTAGAAAAACATTTATTTGGCTTTAAATATAAATTAAAAAATCATGTTCCCAGCGAATTATCTTTACTGTTTCGTTGGGGTTTTTTGCTACAATACACTTTTTAAAGACAAGAATAGCTTCTCATCACTTTGGTGAAACTTTGACCAAATGTTAGTTTACCATAGGTCAAAGCAAGTTCGTATTGTTCTTTAAAAACAAATGGGACCTGACAGTGAGGCAATGTTTTTACACATATCTACTCTTGGACTTTCATAACTCATTCAAGTTTTAGGATGGGTTTGATTTTTGATGTTTTTCTAATCAAAAGCCTTGAAAAGAGTTGTTTGACCACTCCGAGCCACCGTACATGCAAACAGCATCAAGCCAGCACAGAGCACTCTTGGACAAACACAGTGAAGAACACAGGGATGCGTAACTGCGTAAAGGGGATGGCAGCTGTGGCAGAACAGCTTGGAATTCAGATATGATCGCTAAACATAGATGATGTGCTACATGTAGCTTAATTATAGCTTTTAGCTAATGTCCTTCAGTTTTTAGCGATGAGATCGGCGCTATCTGTTGCACTCGTGTTATTAATTCAGTTGCTAGCAGGCTTGACTGTCAATAGAACGCAAACTTATTGATTTAATCTCATATGGAAAATCTTCTTATATGATCATGAAACCGGATGCAGAACACAAGTTTCTGGGGTAATCACTCTAATGCTTGGTGACTTTGACCTTCAATCATCTCAAATGATGTGCGACACGGTATCAAAGCCAACACTTCATTTAGAAATAATGGAAATCAGAATGACATTGGATGTAACATCTGATTAGTAAGAAAGCCAAGCACTAATGAAAGTTGTTTAATAATTAATCAGCAACATGTAATGACATTTTCGGACTGATTATGATAAGTACCTGACTCCTGTAGGTATCTGTAGACCAGGAAGTTGACCTCATCACTGCTAATGCTCATCTTTACTCCTGTTACACCATGAGGTCAGCACACACACACAGCCTGGAACAGAGAGAGATTCAGTCAGTCAGTAACACTCTGCTCAACGCACAAAACACATACATGTGACTGCCAATAGGACAGTTCAAATGCGTCTGTATCTCAGAGCAGCACCTAAAATGACGCATATTAAAAAATATATTCATATTTACAGATAATTCAAATGTAATTTCATTGCAAAAAAGATTGCAGTTATGTGTAGTTGAGGTTTACTTTCTAGGTAGGTTGTTCTTCTGAAAGGTGTGTAGATATAAAAAAAAGTCAGCAAGAAAATAATTGTTTTGGACAATCAATTACAGATATTATTTAAAATCAGATAAGTAACCAATTAGGTCGCAATCCATCAACTCAACGAATAAAAGGGGTGAGACATCAGCAGGAAGGTGACACTTCCTGTGGTATAACCTTTTGTAAGACATTGCTTTGTCTGTGTTTTCATGAGGTAAAACGCTTGGGAACTTTATAACCTCACTGATGCAGCTTTCACACCAGCGCTTTTCCCTTTCTAGCTCCGAGCGGGAGCTTTTCTGGTTCAGCTCCGGTTTCCCTTTTCTGCTCCCGCTCTGTTCACACCCGCCCAGAGCTGCCGCTGCTGCGTCATGACGTCACCGTTTACGTGCCTGCTTCATAAAATCCAAACCGCGCGGAAATCCCTCACATCGACAACAAAAACAATGGCCGATTGTATTGAAGCGCTGTTCGCTTTGGTTATGCTCTTACGAAACGAAATGGAAGGCATCGGACGACTTTACAAGGCACGACTTTACTTGGAACTTTACAAACATCACATGCGAAATGCAAGACTTCTTTGTGGTCTTCAGCATCTACTTCAACCCGCCTCGACGTAAGAGAGACGTAAGCGACGCCGCCTCTTAGCTCCGAAGCTCTTGCCTCTAGACCGACAATTTTTTGGAGCTGGAAGTGAACCGGATTCCGGAGCTAAGAGGAGGCGCCTCTGCGGTGTGAAGAGGAAAAACCGGTGCTTTTCAGGCTCCAGCTCCGAGCCGGAGCCTGAAAACGCGTGAAAGGGGCATGAGAGCCAGAGAGCTGATCCCAAATAAGGACCAGCTCATTATTCTCCCCTGAGTATAATCAGCCATGTAATGCCTGGAGCTCAGTGTCTGCAGCCCCCCAACCCCCCCTCCCAAAAGGAGACTTTCTGTGCATCTAATGGCATTTAAGTGGATGAAGCACTCTCATGGGTACGGGGCACTCTAGCTTACATTTCACTTCCCAGGATGTTAGACTTTCTTGGTCTGGCCAAGAAAAACATTTAGCATGACCTCGTGACCTCTGGCCTTTGCAGAATGTCTAACCCATGAGGGCAGGGGAGGGGGGGGGGGGGGTCACTGTCAAACTGGTAACAAGCATTTCCTGTTCAACAGACTGTGACACGGTGATGCTATCATAGTAGACGCTGTAATCTATTGGAGCTCCAACAACAAGGAGCTGGAGCCGGTTACATCAGCTCCACAGATGCCCCTTTCACACCAGCGCTTTTTCAGCTCCGGCTCGGAGCTGGAGCCTGAAAAGCGCCGGTTTTTCCTGTTCACACCGCAGCGGCGCCGGCTCTTAGCTCCGGAATCGGGTTCACTTCCAGCTCCAAAAAATTGTCCGTCTAGAGGCAAGAGCTTCGGAGCTAAGAGGTGGCGTCGCTTACGTCTCTCTTACGTCGAGGCGTGCAGGAAACTAAACCCTCCTCCTCTGAACATGGGTCGACTGTCATGCCTGCCTACAAGCAGTAGTGCTTATAAACACACTTTATAAAGTCAGGCAACACTAACCAGGCTTCGTGTGATTCTGTTTATTTGTACCTTACTTTGACCATCCGTTCACTGTTATTGATCATTGTGGAGAGAGGCAGACGTTTTGTTTTGTATTATAGCAGCTATCGGATGGAATCAATACATAGGCTGCACAGGTTGTCGTGTCCAACTATCACAAGTAGAATCATAATACAAATACGCCGGTAAAATGTGCCTGTAGAAAACGGTTTATGCCACAATAGGATAGCAATAGCAAGTAGTCAGTTTAGCTTCGGTTGCTATGCTAACATCACCCATTTTATACCAGAGAAACTTTCATAACAGCGTTGTGATACCAAACAGCGTCAATTCAGACTGACACACATTCACTTAGGCTAAGGGGAACTGGGGATATGTATCAGCTGCTTGTGTGAGTCAGACAGTGAATACTTTAGAGCGGCCGCAGCAGTGTGAGCTAACCGGGAGCTAGCGGGAGAATAAACTCCTGTGGAAGAGCAGCCAACACTGCAGCGGTCGGTAAATGCCGAAGAAACACATTAATAAACAATGAACCACGGCACTCTGGAGAAAAGTATAAGGTTGGAGAAGTCGTTATTCAATTTAATCTGGCTTCGTGTGATTAAAAGCAACACGATCATCGACCCGACGCAGTTCACCGTTGTTGTTGTGAGCGCCGTAATGCCGTTGGGGAGCAAATCAGCGATGTAAACGATGACGTCATGACGCAGCAGCGGCAGCACCAGTCGGGTGCTGGGCGGTGTGAACAGAGCGGGAGCAGAAAAGGGAAACCGGAGCTGAACCAGAAAAGCTCCCGCTCGGAGCTAGAAAGGAAAAGCGCTGGTGTGAAAGCCGCAAGAGAGTCTCGGAGCCCAGGCTGAGCTGTTTGGGGACATGTCCCTGACCCAGGAGACAGCAGGAGGAGAGCGCATGTTGGTTCAGCACTTATCTGTGTCTGGCACAGTCAACTGCCTCACCCCTTTTCCAGTGAAAAACTAAAATTGGCACCAAGTGGAAAATATTGTTGTCATGCCTAAAAGCTGCTACGTCGTGTTTTGCAAATCAAACAACAAAAAAGATCAAAATCCAGATTGATTTACTTTTTGTCCGAAAAAAGCAGAGAAAGAAAAGATCTGTGGCTTCAGGCCTCCAGAGGGAGGCAAATTATAGCCAACGTGTACGTCTGTACAATGAGCTTAATTCAAAATAAACATTTGCAGTGTCAAAAGTTGAAGTATTAAATGTAGATTCTTCATTCAAATATAAAAACATTACAAGCCAAGAAAAGCCCTGTATACGCTTTTGCCTGCTGTCTGCTCCTGTCCACCGACAGACTGTCAGGACATCGATCCCCTACTCATTTTAATGAAACCATATATTGGACGGCTTATATGGAGCTCTATTGACATATGTGTCATTGTTAGCCTGCCTGGCTATCGTAAATTGGGCTTCTGGTAGATATAAAATACACAGTTCAACGAAAAATTCGGAATTTGTATTTACCGCCAGTCAGGGGCGGATCTAGACAAATATTCATGGGGTGGCAAGAGGGTGGCAGGAGATTTTGAGGGGTGGCATCCCCTGACAGAAGTATATGCTGATTTAAATCGCAATCATATCAATCAATTAGGGTGTAACGGTATACGTACCCGGACTGAAATTATTCGGTACGGGCCTCTTCGGTTCGGTACACGTGTGTACCGAACGAATATAGCGTTAAACGTACAAAATTGAGAACATGAACAACTTTCTGGAAGTAATCTATATCATAGAGCGACCAAGTCATTTCATTGGACGAGAGGCATACTATGAGAGCTGGTCACAGGGATGCTTTCAAATGTAGTCAGTCATTTGAGGAACTGTCGAAATGGCGAACGCAGATAAAGTTGAGCTGAAAATCCTCCAGCATCATTGAAATCTCCGGTTTGGGAACATTTTGGTTTCGCAGTTACGTACAAGGATGACGGACAAAGACAGGTGGACCGAACCAAAGCTGTTTGTCGGCATTGTTCAACTAACATTGGTTACGCGGCTGGCAATACATCACACTCATTTGAAAAGGCATCACCGAATGTGAATATCACCGGTACCAAAAGAAAAAAGACTGAAGTGCAAACCCAACTCCCACTAGCATGTAAGCCTCCACCACTCGCAAAAAGTTCAGACCGAGCCAAAGCTATTACAAACACCAAATATCCTTATGTTGCCATGTTAGCAAAGCGCTACCTGGCTGTATCTGCTACCTCTGTCCCTAGAGAGGGTGTTCTCCACAGCAGGAGACATTGTTAGTGCCAGCAGATCTGCCCTTTCGGCAAGCAATGTGGACAAGTTCATTTTTCTTTAAACAACATGAAAATACAATGACAAGCAAGTCCTAATGTCAAGCCGGCTGCTTAGGTACAGTACAGTTCAAATACAGATTATTTCAGTTCATCGAAATGCTGCACCTTAATGTTTATTTTACTATATTTTGTATTTATTTGAATACATTAGTCACAGTTTAATAATAATTAAAAAAATGTTTTTAATGTTTTGTGATAATTTTTTCTGCTGTACCGAAAACGTAACGAACCAAACCGTGACCTAAAACCGAGGTACGTACCGAACCGAAATGTTTGTGAACCGTTACACCCCTACCATCAATGTTAACTTGGAAAGCCACAATATTAATATTTTAACTCAATCACATAGGTGATATTATTGTGGCACATCAGTAAAGCCTTACAAGGTGACAGACGTAATGTAATGAATTTTAACTGAACAATAACTGAATGAGTTTGTCTCACTCTTAGACCAGCATGGGAACCAAATCTCTGCATAGATTTGGTACAGATATAGTGAAGAACTGGTATGATTCACATATTCATTTATTATTGAATAAACTATATTTTTTGGAGGAGTTAATGATGAATGTTCATCAAGATGCTTGCTCACCCTCCTTCAAATTTGAAAAACAAGTAATTATATCATTATTGATATACAGTTACAACCTTGACTTTACATCAGAAAGAACAAACATTAAAGAAGTGACTAACTGCATCAGTTAGGGTTAAAAAACGTGTATTCAGCTAAAACATAAAGTTAAATCAAAGTGGTTACTTTCTGTTGGCTGGGCAGTGTAGTTTTACACACCGTCTTATTTTACTTTCTCAGGACTTAAAACTGTTTTTTGGGGGCAGACCCCCTCAAAGAAAAAAATATATACACGCATACAAGGTCATCATCTTAACAGTTTGTTAT